CCGAGAATGTGAGAGATTTCGACTCAGGTCTTTAACAGATGATCAATTCAAAGCTTTGATTCACATATGCAGTCTTCAATCTCCTCGTTTCACAGATATCCGAACTCGACTGCTCAATCAGCTAGAGCAAAATCCTAAGTTAACATTACATAACATAGCTGATGAATATCAACGGCTGATTAATTTGTAGAAAGATACACACCTGGCCGAATCAACACCTTCGAGAAGCTCTGATATTCATGCATTACGAAAGAGCAAAAATCTCTCATCATCCAGTCCTGACCCACCTTCTAATGTTCCACGTAACCATACACATACTCGTCCAACCTCACAAAATACTGTAAAGAAGACCCCAACATCACCATGCTGGCATTGTGGCGCGTGGCACTTTGTAAAGTCCTGTCCATACAAAAATCATCTTTGCAGCAAGTGCAAAATCATCGGTCATAAAAATGGTTTTCGTCAGCCACGCAAACCCAGATATCATAATCCAGCGAAAGCTCAACCAACTGTTGGTCCTAAATCCCCAAAAAGGTCAATGAGTCTACTCGACGAGTACATAACAATTTCCCAACTGATTTCAGAGTGATAAATGTCCGTTTCACCTTTCCGATTCTGGTTAGTTTTGACGTCATTCGTTCCGGTGAAACGATGCTTCTTAGATAAGTAAAGGAAATAATATCCGTCAAATTTATTTGGTTGATAGTGAGTGGTGCTTTTTGTATTTGCTATTGGTTGGTTATCTTCATTACAGCCTTCACTATGTTCATCTGGGATATTGTCTCCAATGCTTGCGTGTTCAGCCAGTTTCCGACTTTGTGTGACATTGAACTTAAATCTTCGACGCACGAAATCTAGATATTCTAGAGTCTTATAATCGGTGCAAAACATAAGCATACTGCATATCATTCATGATTTACTAATGCGACTGACCCTACCTGACTTCAGAAACTTAAGGATTGACTTGTTACGAGGTAATAATCTTGTTGACTTAGAATATGTAGATGATATAGTCCTTCTGGGTGAAGGTCCGACAAAATGCAGTCTTATAAACATCTTGAACAGCAATTTTCGAATGTTTGACATGCGATTCGCTCCTGCTGTCAAATGTAAGATGATGCTACGGGACTGAACTGCATCAACTCCTAACTTAAAAGTAATTGCTGAAGTGATAGGGCGTGTTGACCACTTCACTTATTTGGGGAGTTTTGTCAGCCCCAAATGGTTGATCGTTGACGAAATCTCAGCACAGCTCGCCTGGCATATGCCAACTTACGCCATCTCTGGCTTAGTAGAGGTGATATCCGGCTGTCGACCAATGGGCGTGTGTACCGCTCAGGAGTCCTCTCTGTCCCTCTTTATGGCTGTGAGACATAGCCGTTGAAAGTGGAAGACATGAAGAGCCTGGCTAGCAGTCTTTGATCCCAGCTGTCTGCGTTCTATGGAAGTAAATGCTGTCTTACCTAGTCCAGAAAGATCTTCCACTTATCTTCATATTTTGTTTTCCAATCCGAATTTGTGTAAAGACTAGATATGAGCGCACCACGACATTTTATTATGGAACCAGTTTTGTGTGGACAGTCAAGCGCTTTTCAGGAGCCCGTTTCTTCAACAAGCTTTTTCCTTCCTTTCTTATATTGTAGCTTCCCTGTGGAGGAGGTGGGTAAACAAATGCAAACCGGCGACAATTACGTAAAACTTCACCTCACCAACGCAGTGTTGGGCAGCCTGTTCGCTTTGGTTTCTCAAGTAGTTTATTTCTCAGCTTACCTAGGCTTCACCAGTTGCTGCAGCAATCGGTTCTTGCCTCTGTATGTGAAGTTTAATTACTAAGTCCAGAATGGGTGCACTAGTCACTATCCCCGATAGAAACATAAAGGCGATCAAGCGGAAAATATCCTCTGGTGAGAAACTGTAGTTATCCCATTAGCATAATGAAAGAGAGATGAAAAGATTTGTCACTTCCTACATATTTGTTCTCCTCACGCAACTATAGAAGTTTTCATTGAGCTCGCCTTACTTATTTTTCTAATTCTTCCATCTTACTGCTAATTTCCATTAATAGTGCAGTACAAACAGTTTTCTCTCAATGCTCACCGAGTTATGAATGCAGATTTTATTCCTTATACATGCATTCTTCAGAAGTCTTGTCATGATGATGTCAGCTATAATTTACTGTTGTAAATGACTCTCACTCTGTATCCTTAAAACCGTTCCACTTTTCTTCTGCTATCGGTTGATTTACTTGACGTTTTTTAGATTTAACTCTACTGCCAAGAGAAAACTTGGAAGTTTCGTATACATAGATGTCGACAAATCTTACAGCCGCTGATGTAATACCCACCGGAAAGACAGTACCAGATAGTTCCGTCACATACTTTGAAAGTAGATACAACAAGCAGGCAATTCCCAATGAAGAGAATATCGGCACTCAGGAGCAACTGCTGTCGTAGGCCGATATCAGTTCCAGAGCAATCTATTCCATATTTAGCACATTTGCCAACACCTGACGCAAAGAGCCACTTAAACACTGCATTACTTCTGCAAGTATCAAACAGGTCAACACGAATAGGACACTATAGCCTAAACCTGGAATTTCAGTTCACACAAAATATTATTCGCTGAATCACTGTCCTTATAACAACTTCTGAATAAAGAAATAATCATCAGTTTTCGCCGTAAGTAGAATTTTAAAGTGCATTAATGGTATATATATATATATATATATATATATATATATATATATATATATATATATATATATATATATATATTTAAACGGGCGTTTGACAATCATCTTGGCTTTCATTGTGTCATGTAAATAGAGCTCAGAATGAGAGGAAATTTTCAACGAACAGGAATTCATTTAACTACCTCATGTAGTCATTCTCAAGTAGAGATTGGCTATCCACCAAGCTTTATAGATAAACACATAAAGCTGAAAATCAACAAAGAACAACCCATGTTTGTGCCGAAGAAAATGCTATACATGAATGTGGCGTTCAAAGGCGACCTTCTGGTCGACATCCTAAACAGAAGAGTATTTAAACGTCCTGAAAAGAACATTTTCTGCTGCGATATTACAATTGGTATTCTCAAGCTGCCTATTGTTCTTCAACAACTCCAAAGATAAACTATCACATTCGACCCTTTTCTATATGTATTTACCAATGTACTTGTTCATGTGAAGCGAAATATATAGGTCATTTGGTAAGTAGTTTATCTACTAGTGCCAAAGAACATTACCCCGCTTGGCTACGAAAATGTCAGTGAATCAATAAGGAGTGCTGTAGTTGAACATACATTCTACACTGGGCACTCAATATACGCGGAAAATTCATTCAAAGTCATCTACAAAATCCAAAGAAGCCTCCCGAAAACGGCAGGTAAGCTTCTGTATACTTTATATCGCCGAAGCTTTAGCGAACCGGATAGAGAACCCAGATTTATGCACACAGGAGAAACTTCTCCACCGCCTTCTTCTACTTTGGGTAAAATTCCAAGTTCAACTATTTTGTTATCAATACTATTTTGAATTTTCGTTTGACATCTTCTTAACTAACTCTTTATTTACTCTTTCTACCTGTTACATAATTCATTTTTGAAAACGTGTCTCTACTAACATACCAATTCCATATTACGCGACCTTTGTCAATATTTACCAATCTTCATCCTCTCCCCTGGTTCAAATTTTGATTATTCACCACATTTTATAGAGATTTTCATGACGTAAACATTAACCCTGACTAATCTTTTTTGTTCAGACATCTATAAAACACAAAATAATCGAGCAAAGAATATTCTTTTCCTCTTCTGGCTCTACAATTATATATATGCTTATATACAAAGAATATTCTAGAATAGTAGTCATTAACAGTACTAGTGTTTTTTAAATATAATATCGATTTGTAAAGTATGATCAATGCAATTACAGTTCACTAAAAATACTTAAATTATAATAGTAATAAAGATATAATAGAGAATAGAATATCAACTAAAATTAGGTAATTTCCACAAAAATTCATGATCATTCAAACCTAGATGGCCAAGGTAAGGACAGTGTCTGAACTAACTTTTTTTTGGAGGCACAAATTAGGCTTCTCCTTCTTAATGTGGATCCCAACAGTCTCAGCAATATTTAGTAATCGAATTCTTAAGGCGAAATCGAGATTTGTTGGTATCTGGCAAATAACTGGAAAAGCCTGGTTAACATCACTCTTATGTTCTGTATCCACAAGATGAGCCAGAATAGCGCTACGAATAGATTTTGTTTGGCCTTTGCTTATTTGCCGGATACCAACAAATCTCGATTTCGCCTTAAGAATTCGATTACTAAATATTGCTGAGACTGTTGGGATCCACATTAAGAAGGAGAAGCCTAATTTGTGCCTCCAAAAAAAAGTTAGTTCAGACACTGTCCTTACCTTGGCCATCTAGGTTTGAATGATCATGAATTTTTGTGGAAATTACCTAATTTTAGTTGATATTCTATTCTCTATTATATCTTTATTACTATTATAATTTAAGTATTTTTAGTGAACTGTAATTGCATTGATCATACTTTACAAATCGATATTATATTTAAAAAACACTAGTACTGTTAATGACTACTATTCTAGAATATTCTTTGTATATAAGCATATATATAATTGTAGAGCCAGAAGAGGAAAAGAATATTCTTTGCTCGATTATTTTGTGTTTTATAGATGTCTGAATGAAAATGTTTCTATATTGTAATCTTTTTTGCTTGACAATCCTAATTTACACACACACACACAAAATAATTATATATATATATATAGTTAAGTGAATGAATTCGCCGAAAACAGACTCTTCTTTGAAATTTGTTGTTCTTATATTCATGTCTGGATGTTTTCCGTAAACAGTTATTCATTTAACTTCCACCTCACGCAGACTTTAAAAAAAAAAAAACAAATAGCTTTTTCGAATGATCATTAGAAACTTTCTCTCTCTCTTTCTGTCTCTCTCACCACCAAAAATTACATCTCTTCATCAAATGAACTATCATCTTCGTCAAGATCAATTTCTTCATTTCCAATTCCGAAAAATCGAACGTCAATTGTTTCTAGAACCTGTCTGAGAGTGCCATAGACACTTTCTGATGCATTACGCATAACACCGTTCACAATACCAAGAGTATTGTTTTCAGTGCCTGCATCAGAAGAGCTGTCAGCAGACGGTTCTGTAACTGGGCGCTGAATAGAACTTGACGGTAACAGTGAAGTTAAGAGTCCAGTGAAGAAGCCATCACTAGACGAACTTGCATAAATATGTCTGAAAAAAAGTTTTGAAACAAATACAATTTTTGTAAAAAAGGGAAACAATTAGCAAGTTTTTCATTCAATTTCTATGTCAATCAATTTAAGCTTCTTGCTAAAAGTAATTAACCAATAAGTGAAGCTTACCAGGAGCTTCATATAGTATAATAATTTAGAAGTGAAACAACTGTTATTGCTATTTTGTTTTTCTGGAGTACTAGCAGTTACGTATGCAGAGGTTAGTGTACAATTACAAATTAATTTTTCAATAAAAAACTAGTGTGATTTGACAAAAGAGAGATAAATCAAGAGAGGCTGAGCAAAAGGGTGAATTCACTTCAAGAGAATAGTAATTTTATTCTCCATTTCTGATGGAAACATACATACCTTTTTGAAAAAAGAGTCACTTCGAAGATAGTTACTTTTACATAACAATGTGAATTCTAATCCACTACTTCTTAACCCAGAGGTTTTTGGTGAAAGGTAGTTTATGAACTGTAATTTTTTTTATAGCAGTGACGCTACGTTTGATTGATTGTAGTTGTGAACGCTTCCTTATTTATCAATCCAGATTGGATTACTAATCCTCATAAAATAAATGCAGCTCAATGGTCAAGTGGTGGTACTTGGAGTAACAATTTATTTCACTACTTGTAAAGTAGAAGTCCCCCTTCTACAGACGGCATATATTCGTTCTAATATTTGACCACCTACCTATATGACTACTTTTTGTATACCTTGATTAAACGCGACTGAGTACTTAAATAGCGGCATATCAATCAATACAATAGGGTATGCGAATGCACAACTGACTCTCTGAGGCCACCACCAATTAGAAATGCCAGTGGTTTTTACACAATAATGACGTTTATTTGCTAAGAGAAATACAGAGAATAATGATAAAACACCTCGAAAAAGGATATTTTTCCTCTGATGTAACTTAAAGATATCTCTTAATTATAAAGAGGAGAGTATCGATTTTCAATTTAGACCAGTTTCCATACATCTATTCATTGAGGTGACTGAAGATGAGTTTACACGAATTTAACCACAGATGGATATCAGTTAGAGAAACACTGAAAACAAAGGAGTACTGGACAGCTATTAAAAACCTTGGGAATTATCAGCAGCTATCCAGTAATCCCTGGTTTCCAATGCTTCTCTAATTGACACTAATCCGTGGTCAAACTAGTATAAACATATGTAATCCTTACAAACCAAACTCTTGAAGATAACTTCTTTTTGTGACCCATCTATCGCTGTTACCCTGTTTCTCAGTGTTCCCCAAAAGCTTTCAATTGAATTAGTATGAGTCGCAGTAAGAGAATCGACATCTATTTACTCGAAGAATGCGGATAATCCTAACCGTAAACTTAAACCTAAGGAAATATCAACACATTATCCCAACAGTACTTAAAAGTGACATCGAGATGAAATTTGCACATCGCCTAATGAACATTGCTCACAGTGGCGTTATAAAAAGTGGTAGCTCTCGTAGTATTCGACCGAGGTAATTGGTGCATTTGCACTCCTGTATCGGTAAACTTTAACTTGACCTAAAATAGTCTGCATGATTTAAAATACCACTTGATTTCAAGGAAGCTGATGTTTAGTAGAGTTTGCTCTGAGGTTGCTAGTATGAAATCTCTGCATATTTATACATATGGAGAAAGAAAACAATTATGGTCTAAAAGTTATTGCAGTAAGTAATCATAATCCGAGTGTTGATTGGCTGGGACTGTGGAACACAAACTCTTGTGTACATGTTATAATAAATGCCTCTCAGTGACTCTTCCATTCAGAACTAGTTAGTTCTTTTGGAGCGCTGTGTTAAGTGGAAATTATTACATCGTAAAGTATGATGTATTTTAAATATATGTTCACTCACAGTTTTTTTCATTTATACATTCTACCTAGCATAAACCATGTTCGGTTTTATACGATTTTTTTTCCAGATATAATGGAAAAGATTTTTAGCTCAGGTGGATGATTTTGGCGTAGTTGTGCGCTCTGAGATGGATGGTTTAGTTGAGAGACTTTCAGTGTCTGAAAAGGCAACATCCTCGTCAGCACATACTTCAATTTGAAGTGGGCTTTTAGATTTCTCCACGAGTTTGTAAGTCATCTTTCCTAGTGACCTTGAACTTGGTTGTTTGTTTTTGTGTGTTTTACCGCCATCTAGTCCACTAGTATTGGTATTGATTGTTTCCTTGACCTGAGAGCTAACCTTTTGTTTATATGATTTCCTTCTTATGGATTGGTAAATCTTTTCCATGTCAATGTATCTGTTGACTGCTTGTTCATTTAAATACTAGGCTTCTAGAAATTCCCTGGCACTTTTGGTGCTTTCTCTGTCTAAGCTTTGAACATTAATCCCAGTCGAACTGGTGTCCGTGACTGTCTGTATGCAGTGATACGAGAGAGTGAATACTGCATATTTTGACGGACAGTTTTTTTATTCATGGATGCGAAAATGACGAGGGTGTCCATTTTGACCAATAAAATGTTTTCACAGTCGTTCCAATTTATCTTGTAGACGATGTTGACTTTTTCTTTCGCTGTTGAGTCTTTTGGTTGACACGGAGTAGAGCGAAGTGATATGTTGGCAACATCAACTGCAAAAAATTATAATAGTCTTGCAGTGATTTTGGAGATGTTCTCTATATATATGATAGGACAATTTTCTTTGTTTTTCGATTGAGAACTTTTAATTTGGTTCATTGGGTTGAGGGTAGATGTCTTTTGATGAAGTTTCATGGATATCTATAAGACATTTTTCTTTGATTTTCCTCAAAGCAGGAGTGCTGTAACAAGTTCTGTCACTCCTGAATAATGTTTGTATGCAACTCTTTTTGTGTGCTATTGGATTATTGCTATTGTAATTGAGTATTTAATCAATGTGAACAAAAGGCCAACACTTATCTTTCAGGTCAAGGAAACAATGATCAATAGCAATAGTGGTGGAATACAGAGTGATAAAATACACCAAAAACAACCGATCACTTCTGAAGTTACCAGGAGAGATGACTAATAAACTCGTGACAAATGTTAAGAGCTCTCACTCAAATTGAAGTGTGCGCTGAGAATATTGTCTGGTAAGTAAGATGATGAAGGCTTTGCAACTAAACTATCCAGCTCAGAGAACACAACTACACCTAAATTCTTTGTTCCAATTAACTTGTAGAGTAAACCAAGTAGTGATCGAAATAAATGATACACATAATTCAACATAAAACGATCTTTAATACTAAGTATATGTAAACACAACATAATATAAAGTGTAATACGAAACTGTACGTTTATAATCCACTAACGTTTTTGCTTCTTTATTGCAGATATCAATAGAATTTTTAGGTGGAAAAGGATCGAATGGATAAATGGAAGTATTCACCGAACGCTTAATGAAAAGAAGAATAAAAAGGAATTAATGCACAAATAGAATGATAAAAAAAACACTGTCAAAATCAGTTTTACAAACCGCAAGACAATATCTGGCATGTCTCGGTGGAAAAAGTAAGCTGAATGGTGATGGTGAGTGAAAGAGTTTACGACCAGCCTAAAGAGTTTATCTTAATAAACAGGACTTAATAGTGAATAAGTTTAAGAGACATAGGTTTACACGTAAATAAAACAGTAGTTGAAGGCCACACTGATATGGACATCAATCAACCGAAATCCAGTATGTTGTTAACACCTATCATTCAGGTCCTGTGAATGGATCAATTATTATTATTCCTTTGGGTACCGAGTGGGACACTGCGCTCCAAAAACTCACTTCCACTTTACCACATTATCTGCGGCTCCCTTTAGATGGCTCCATGATTTCCTATAAGCCATCATCTCCTCCCCATATGATTTCCCATATGTCCCGCTGACACATACGCCCAACTCATCGTTTCCGGTTCGGGTTCCATTCGAGGTACTGCCTGGCGCGCGATGCCATTCAAAGGTCTCTCTTCAGCGTGTGTCAGATCCATCTCCACTTAATTCGTGATATTTGTTGAGCAATACGTTCTCCATTGGTTCGTTCCCAGAGTTTCTCGATGCCAATTCTTCCTAGCCGGTCGGGTATCTGATCTCCAATAAATAGAGCAAGCAAAAACAATTGTTGAAATAAAATTTCAAAGCCGCCTGTTGGAAATGCTTTTCGTGATGGGCGCGCACCAAGGTTTTGATCCATAGAGAAAAGCTGATTTAACTTGACGTTCAAAATCCGAATATTGCACTTTATGCTGGGGAATATAGGAGATTTCCAAACTGATTTCAGAATGAAGAAGGTCTGTCTTGCCTTCATCTGTTCCACCACCTGTGGTTAAAACGATGCTGAATAGTGAATGAGGTAGCGTCTTTCAAATTTCTTCCATTGATAGTGATCGTTGTTTATTATTATTGACTGAATATCTGTATCATCACCATTTTTTTCTAATGTTCACTTGAAGTCGTGGACTGGATCAATCAATATATGTCATATGTTTTTGTACTCTTTGTCACTTTCTGGCTTTGCTTTGTAAATACACTTTTCTATTGCTACTGTGTAAGTCTTGTGGAATTTACTAGTTTCAAGTCAAGGAATAATCGACCGGGAAATTGTCTAGCGTTCATTGTCGTCGTCAGTTAGCATTCATCATCATTCCTATTCACCAAAACCACAAGAAATACAAACGAAATTTATCAGAGTTTCTAAGGCATAAACAATGACGAGGAGGTTGTTTACTGTTTCAACGAATCACAGACATACACATACATATGTTGTGTATTTTGCACACAATATTGGCAAAGGTAGCAAACAGCTTTGTAGTGCACCCATTGATTGTCATTACGGAGACTCAAGTTACAACACAATGGATTATTTTATGGGGAAGGTAAAAAAAGGAAACAGTAGAAACTGAATATCAGGAAGGCTTCGTGTGCTTTTCGGAAGTGTGTGGTCGGTTGTTACTTCCGGCTGCCCACACCGTGGAAGTTGATTGATTCTTCAGGTACCTGAAACAGAAAGAGTGTTGTGTGACTGCAGAGCTTAGGGGAAAACTGCTTGAGGCCGGTCACACATGGCCTGTATGAATTGGCGTCTTGGTCTGGTTCCGTATTAGTAAACTTACCGCCGGTTACGGACCACCGTAGGGTAAGTCAAGATGTACAATTTTTGGGGTCGACCTTTTCTAACCCTCTCTCTCCGGAGTGGAGAGACAGCATAGCTGGCGTGCTGGTCATCTGAGGGAAACACCTCACTGCTGTTACACCCCTGTTCCCCAGCAGTACGACTTCGCCCTCAGACCCCCAGCATAGTGTAAGAAAGATTATTGCACAATGCCGGTAACTGCTCTTAGTCCAATCACTATCCTAACAACCTTCCTGGCATGGTAGGACCTGCAAAAACATTGGTTCCAGCCAGTGCAGCTTGTTGGGTCATTGCGATGTGGAAGCCCGACCACCACGTCAAGGTAGCAGCTATCGGTCGGGAGAAACTGAATATACACACAAATAAACAACTCCATATATAGATATTGAACTGTAGAAGAAATCTAAATCTCATTTAGCAACTTTGATGGCTGGCTAGAAATCAATTTCCGGTTTGTCAATCCGATCGTGGAGGGTAAACTGGAATTTTATTTCACTTATGCTATTTTTTCACCATTTGCAATAAAGGCTGTAATCAGTGTAGTACTTAGAGGTTAACAGTGACGTGTGTGTTTCATTCTTATGATATTTCAATGAATGGTATTAAGGATACTCATGTGTATAATACATCAGTACGGTATCATTAACTTTATGTCTTCGTGCGTCTGTGGCATAGCGGTTAGGACGCTTGCCGACTATGTACATGGTCCGGGGTTCGATCCCCGGCCACCGACGCACTCCTTTACCTCGATTAGGCCAGAAATAATGCTGGTAAAGAGGAAAGGTTGAGCATGAGGCTAGCAACCCCATCCTGTAAAAACAATCACCACTGCTACAGAAACTACAAGCCACTAGCTTGAAGCCCTATGTTCCACTGGGAACGTGAAGGAAAAAAAACTTTATATCTTTATTTCATACATTGCTGTTTCCTGAATTGTAATAACTTAAACTAATCTCCCTATACGCACAAAGTGCAAAACATTAAATCGTCAGTAAGTTATTTGTCGACAGAAATAGCTATCACAGATAGATATCTTCGATGTATGCCACTGGTGTACAACTTTATGAGTTGATATAGCCACTTTATGTGCAAATAAAGATACAAGTATAATCATAAGAATCTATTAATTTTATTGAGTGTTATGTTAATTCACAAATTTGGGATGTTATGCTTTTAGCTAGGTATTAATAAAGACACTAACACTTTCTAACTTTGAATACACGAACTGAATCCTTTGGATCATTTTAATATCATATAACCGTTGGAGTATGACGTAACATTTAAAATTTTTTTTGTATTTTTTTACGTTCCCAGCCGAACATAGGGCTTCAAGTTTTAGCTCTGAAGTTTCAGTACCAGCGATGTTTTATTTTCTATGGGGTGAGGTTGCTAGCCTCAATCTCAACCTCCCCTCTTTGTCAGGAGATAAAGGTGTGCGCCGGCCGGGATTCGAACTCCAGACCACGTGCATGATCGGCCAGCATTCTACCGCTGAACCAACGACGCAAATAATATGACGTAACTAATACCCGAAACGACAGCATCCAGTGGAAGTGACTATTGTAATAAAAAGATTGATCTTACTACTACTTTGGTTGTACTCATCAATTTCATGCAAATATGCGCTATTCGGAACCAACACGTATTAAGAAACAACAATAACACTAATAATAACGTTACATTTAGGGTACTTATTACATCATTTTAGGGCTCATCATCTGAAGTGGTATACACGTAAACTGTGAAGTAATTATTTAAAATCCCTACGCCTAGTGATTCAGTTATTGAATGAAATATGAAGTAATTATAATTACAAACTATAATGAATGCACACAAACAGTATCTTTGAAAAAATTTCATGCACAAGATTTTTTTCACTTACCCTGAGCAACATAGGTGGTGCTTCAGGAGCTCCAGATAGACACAAATGTCTTAAAATCTTTGGTGGGAAGGCAGGATAGAGAGCTTTACGTCTAATAAGGAGATAAAAAGTCTAACAGTGCTCAAAATGTATAAACGCGGATATATATATATATATATATATATATATATATATATATATATATATATATATATATATATATATATATATATATATATATATATATATATATATATATATATATTAATAAGGAGAAAAGATGAACAGAACAGTTTATTAGAAGAGACAAATATATCTACCGAAAATTGATTGAAAAAAAAAATAAGAAGCCCACATTGTTGACTGTTGACTCGTCAACAAATTGAGGTAATATGACTCCTTATTATTATTATTTCCTTTAGTTCCTTGAGGAACATACGGCTTCAGTCACACATCTGCATTGCCTTCGGTTCTCCAACAACGTTTTCACCCCCCACTACATGATTTCATCTCCTCTTCACATGACCTCCCCTATGTCACCCTTTCACTGAAACCAAATCGCCGCTTCCCAATCAAATTCCACTCAAGCGATGGCCTCACGTATCATATATCTCACCTGATGGTTTGTTTTCTCGGAGTATGGCCAATCCACCGTAATTTCTTCCTGCATATCTGTTGCACATTCGGTTCCTGTTGGGTTGGTTCGCTCATTGCCAGAGATCCCTCACTATTGCTGATCTCTTCTGGCCGGCCATCTGATCTTGAGTGGTATTGAGCGAAGACAGCTATTGATGAAGGTTCGTAGTTTGTTCGAGGTGCTATTCATGACGCGCTGGCTAAGTCTCTGATCGTTATAGTAGCACTGACTTCATAAGTTGAAAATCCGGATCTTATTCTTCATGATGAGTGTTGTTGATCTCCACGCAGGCTTGAGAGTAATAAAAGCTTGCTTTGCTTTCCCGATCGTCACTTTGATATCATCGTCATTTCTGTTCTCCTGCAGTTGAAACAATGCTTCCCAGGTAAAAGAAGGTTGCTTTTCTCAGATTCCCCCTATTTATGCTGACTGTTGTTGTTGTTGCTATTGTTGGCCAGGAATCTTCATCACCTCTGTTTTGTCTATGTTCACCTGAATTCCTATCTTCTCTGGATGCTTCTTCTGTCAACCTGTTGCTTTTCACTGCCATATCTTTCAGTTTATGGGAAATCAGATACATATCATTGGCGAAATCCAGATCCTCTAGGTTTTTTTGTATGGGTCCACATAGATGAACTTGTTTTACAGTCATGTCATGTGATAAACCTTTATCATATCAGTAATGTTATTGTTTATACGTCTCTAGTATATATATATATATATATATATATATATATATATATATATATATATATATATATATATATATATATATATATATATATATACATATATATATATATGTGTGTGTGTTTCGAAACTTTCGCCAGAAATTTCAAGCAGATTATGAGCAAACAAAGTACGACTCTTTCTGCTGCTATTATACATTATTCATTTACTTAAAATCAAGCAGGGGTGCAGAAAGAGGTGTTCGATTCAAAATAACTGAATACCAACATAAAGAAAAGAGAAACTAAACATCACTTATCATGGGGACAGAGCACTGATCCCAGCTTCTTGCAAGAGAAAAGCGGAATAGTTGTATGAAGTGGCTTAACCTAACTTCTGTTCTCTATTCCCAGTGAATCAATAGGGTCGAATAAGTCTAGCGTGATGACAAGTACCAACCAATGATATCAAGCCAATGGATTCCATCCCAGAGTCACGACGTTGTAACAGACATTAATTCAAGGCAACTATTTTTGTTCCACGGCATCGCATCAAGGGGTGACCACCTCTCCGTCTCTTTCTAGTGGTCCCAGGGTGTAGGGGAAGGGATAACATTCGCTACATTTGGGAAGGCCACTAAACTAAATATCCCAAAATCACATCACTTATTGATGTATGGCCTATACTGTGTTAAAACACGCGTCATCGCAACAGAGCATGATTACTCGCCAGTTGATTATGGTAATTCAGAATCAATGACTGAAAACACAGATACCTTGAATATCAGCTCAGATAAGCCAGGTTTCACAAGTGTGAAAGTAAGGCTACACACACACACACAGTGAAAGGTTGTAAACACGATCTTTGAAGACAGCACAATCCAAATAAGTGTATGTCACTGGATTTTGTTTCACGACCAAACATTTTGTCACACGGACCCTTTGGTTTGAAGTCTGGTCTACAACACAGAAAAGTAACATCAACCGCTGTTGATAGCGTGTGATTAAAGCAGGTTCAGGTGCATTTTTCTTTTGCAACTTGGACGTCATACTTATCATTGAGGCTAAAGTCATGGTTTCCAAAATTCCACCCTTTTCTATATCCATCAGATCAGTTATGAGACACAAATTGACCTTTGTAAGAATACACCCAACGATACGAAGGCGGTGAACAGGACTGACATGGCAGAGGTGATGCGCTCATCGCTACAACACAGTATTGTGAGGCGAAGACCGGAAGCCATTCACTCTTGGTCATACCACTCTATTTGTAAAAATCATAGAAAGTGTAGGTGTTCCGATTTTCCATCTTCATTTACATAATTTCATCAAATTATTGAGTAAAAGATTAAAACTAAAGTCAAGATGTGTTTCCATTACCACGGGTGTTTGAAGTACTGAGTCGTTGTTGCAGCTACAAGTGCCTCAATGCATACTATAACAGGAAAGATTCTCAAGATATTCGCTAACAGTTCCAAGACTTCCTCTAGTCACAACACTTAATGCTCCAATACCTAAGATGAGCTGTCATTTTTCTCATTATATATACAAAGTTATATATATATATATATGTTTGTAATCAATCACCAAATATGGTTTCACAAAAATCATACTTAAGTATAAATTACCTTAGGATATTCACATAGAAGAAAATGACGACAATCAATATAATAGTGAAGATTACAGCTAAATTCACCTTTTAGAATATTCAGCAAGACGTGGGTCAATAGTATTGTTTTTGGAAGGATGAATCTGTTTTGGTTCAACCATGGCTAAAACAGACTCAATATTCTTTTCCAACCATGGCAGAATATTCGATGATGACCAAAGAGCGTGCATGCGTGTAACATATAGATTTATTAAATATCCCAGACTTTCAGATTCACTAGTTAAAAATGCAGAAGAAAAAAACAAACAAATCAAAAGTGAAATCAATATAAACACCACTGACTGATTGACTTTCAAAAGACTTTACACGAATTTACTGCAGTTCAATTTGCTACACTTTATAAGCACATAAGCGTAGAGGAAAGAAACGCAAACAGGCAAAGTTAAACTTTAAGCACAAGTAACTACCAATCAGCGAACGACCTTCAACGGACCAATTACAAGAAAGAGGGACTTTTGATTAAGAAAAACGTATATTTATGGAAAAAAGCATAAAAACCGCATAAAACTGTTACATAGGGTATCTTTCTCTAACATGTGACAGAAACATCACCCAGTTTAGCATAGGAGAGTCACTGGAAAAGTTACACCACATTCTTTACATATATTCATCCAAATGACTGTAAATGAGATCCATTTACAGCCCTAATCCTATTTTTTAATCTTCCGCAAAATCCTTCTATAGAATTCGTGTGTGTCTCTATAATTGGATCCACAAAATCCCCAAAATGCTTCACTCTGTGATAAACGTATCCAAGAGGTGACAGAGAGTTATAACCTTTCCACTCATCAGTATGTTCAATGGATCCCTGTTTCACAAGTCGAGTGACAATAGATACTAAGGTAGTAGACTTTCTGTCTGGTATTCTCTCCATGAATCCTTTCCGCAGGAAGGTGTCATATAAACCGATCACCCAGACATAGTTAGCTCGCTCACTACCACGGTTGTATTTTTTATTCAGTAACACAGATACTAGCTTGCTAGGCTACTAGCTTACTAGTTTTCTCGCCGGTCCCAAGCCCGGGTAAAGAGGGAGGGTTGGGGCGTGGTGCTAGCAACTCCACCCCTGTAAAACAACCAAATCGCTACAGAAACTTCAACGAATAAATATATTAAAAATTCTAAAAACATAAGCAATAGCCTTACTTTTCGCTGGAATCGGGGAAGTGAAATGACGCAGGCTGGTGAAAGCCTTCGGGAAGCCAGTCAGCCGATGTGCCTTCTTTCGATGAAAGCAAAAGTAAGGATGGGTACCTGGAATGTTCGTACAATGTACGAAACTGGAAAGGCTGCCCAGATAGCCGCTGAAATGAGAAGGTACAGAATAGAAGTGTTGGGAATCTGCGAAAGCAGATGGAACGGAACTGGAAGGTGCCAACTACCTACTGGAGAGACAGTAATCTTTTCCGGCCACCCAGAGGACAACCATGAGCACACCGAGGGAGTGGCCATCATGATGTCACCAACAGCAACCAAAGCTCTCATGCAGTGGGAACCAATCTCCTCCAGGATAATGACAGCCAGGTTCAACTCAAAAGGAAGGAAAGTTACAGTCATTCAATGCTATGCGCCTACAAACGTCTCAGAACAAGAGAAGAAGGAGGCGTTCTACAGACAACTACAAGCAATAATGGACAACGTCCCAAATGGCGATATCAAAATCCTGATGGGCGACATGAATGCGAAGCTGGGAGGAGACAACACAGGAAGAGAACTCACCATGGGTCGTGAGGCCCTCGGTGAAATGAACGACAATGGTGAACTCTTCTCAGACTTCTGCGCCTTCAATGATTTGGTGATTGGCGGTAGTGTGTTCAAACACAAGGATATACACAAGACGACATGGATTTCACCAGATGGAAACACCAAGAACCAAATAGACTTCATCTCAATTTCAAGAAAGTGGAGACGGAGCCTACTGGACACAAGGTCAAGGAGAGGAGCAGATGTGGGTTCAGACCACTATCTAGTACAAGGGACTTTCAAGGTGAAACTAAAAGCCTCGAGGATAGCTGGGGATAGGCCACAATGCAAGTTCAACACTCAATTACTGAAGGACACAACCACAAAAGACACTTTCACTGCAACTGTCAGAGCAAAGCAGGAAACACTACGCGACATCACTGAAGAATCATGCGTGGAAGAACATTGGAAGTCTCTGAAGGCGATTCTCAACGAAACGTGTTCAACGGTTCTAGGAAGAAAGAAGAGACAAGACAAGGAATGGCTCTCAACGGACACTTGGAAATTAATAGAAGAGAGGAGAATGGTGAAAGAGAAAATGATTCAATGCAAGGACGGACAGGAGAAGGAGACGATGAGCTCAACTTACAAAGCACTGGACAAAGAAGTGAAGAAGAGTGCTAGGAAGGACAAAAGACGATTCTACGACAACCTCGCCACTGAAGCTGAGAAGGCAGCAGGCAAAAGGGACCTGAGGACACTATATCAGATAACCAAATCTCTATCCGGGAAGAGATCAACACAAGCGAAACCTATAAAAGACAGCCAAGGGAACCCAATTACCAAGGAAGAAAAACAGATTAAACAATGGGCGGATCACTTCAAAGGACTCTTGAACCGACCATCACCTGCAACCCGTCCAGAAATACCAACAACAGCGCGCACACAACTGCAAGTTGACACCAATCCTCCAACGAGAGCTGAAGTCTTGAACGCAATCAAGCTTCTGAAAGCTGGAAAAGCAGCCGGACCAGATGGAATACCCCCTGAAGCACTGAAAGCAGACCCAGAGACTACAGCAGACATGCTGACTCCATTATTGCAAAAGGTCTGGAAGGAGGGAAAGGTGCCTACTGACTGGAGGAAAGGTTACCTCGTGAAACTACCAAAGAAGGGCGACTTAGGACTCTGCAAGAACTGGCGAGGAATCATGCTCCTATCGACGCCAAGTAAAATCCTGAGTCGCATCATCCTGGAGAGATTAAAGGACGCACTGGAGACAGAACTCCGACCAGAACAAGCTGGATTCAGGAAAGGCAAATCATGTACTGACCAAATTGCAACTCTACGCATCATCATCGAACAAAGCATGGAATGGCAATCAAACCTCTACCTCAACTTTATAGACTTTGAGAAGGCCTTCGACAGCGTTGATCGTGAAGTAATTTGGAAATTACTCGAGTACTATGGCGTACCCCAAATATTCATCAACCTTATTCAACAGCTGTACGACAACGGCACATGTCAAGTGATCCACAACGGAAAACTCAGCGAGGCGTTTGGAGTAAACACAGGAGTCAGACAAGGGTGCTTACTATCACCAATGATATTCCTAATTGTGGTGGACTGGATTATGCGTCAGACAGTGGGAAACGAGAAGACAGGAATATCCTGGACCGACGTGAAGAACCTAGAAGACCTGGATTTCGCGGATGATTTATGTTTGATGTCACACACAATCGAAGACTTACAAGCGAAAACCGACAAACTGGTCGAAGAAGCAGCAAAGACAGGACTCCAGGTGAACATAGACAAGACGGAGGTTATGAAAATAACCAACCAACAACAGCAACAACATCCAACGTCAATCACCATCAACGGGAGGGATTTGAAAGAGGTTACTTCATTCACTTATCTAGGGAGCATTGTCTCAACTACAGGAGGAGCGGACGAGGATGTCAAATCGAGCGAGAATCGGGAAGGCGAGAAACACATTCATCAGCCTGAAATCAATCTGGAAATCTTCGTCACTCAGCATCAACAACAAAATTCGGATTTTCAATACAAACGTAAAGTCAGTTCTTCTATACGGATCAGAAACTTGGCGGGGTCACAAAGAATATTTCCAAAAGGTTGCAGACCTTTATTAACAACTGTCTTCGCTCTATACTGAAGATCAGATGGCCGGAAAGAATCACCAACAAGGAATTATGGGAACAAACAAAGCAAGAACCAATCGCCCAACAAATATGCAGGAGAAAGTGGAGATGGATCGGACACTCGCTGAGGAGACCGCTGGGTGACATCGCGCGTCAAGCCCTCGAGTGGAACCCGAAAGGGAAGCGGCGTGTGGGACGTCCAAGGGTGACATGGAGGAGATCGTGTGAAGAGGAGTTGAAAGAATATGGACTAACATGGATGCAGGCGAAAAGTACAGCAGAAGACAGAAACAAGTGGAGACGTGCAGTTGAAGCCCTATGTTCCACTAGGAACCCAAGGGAGCAATAATAATAATAACACAGCTTCGTCCACGTGTACGACGATACCTTCTCGCCTATCAGTAAAGTAATTCTCTCTATTTTCCATGACGCGATATCTCTCCTTCCTAAGCAGCTCCAAATCCAGGCAACACTGCAAAACCTTATCCTCATCTCACTGCAAGCGTAACTTCGTTTGATACGAATCAAGCGCTATACAACCTTGAACTCGCGTGCATGAACATCATTGGAACATTCGAGGTCATTCGCTGATTGGTAGTTAGTGGTGCTTAAAGTTTAACTTGGCGCTCAAAGGAACTCGAACAAACGGAGATATTGATGCAGAGAGAAAAAGCAGATAGGGGTGGTGAAGATGTGATGTGTTTGGAAGTCGATAAAGACCAGTTCTGTAGTATCCGTTTGCACTTGACACGAGCGAATCTCATCCTAAACAGCCCTCAAAGTTATGCTCACATGAGTGCAGTTTGTCAGAGAGACAAAACCGAAACATCAGCTAATAAAGCAACTAATATGTAAACCTGAAACACGGCTAGCAGAATAGTAAGCAATAATCACGATAATGAAAAAATTTATTTAGCATATGAAATGGCTGGCTTTTTACGTCCCATTACTTTTTATTTCTTTAATCCTACTGGTGTGGCGTAATGTAGACTGATAGGAAGCGGCAAAAACTGAAATTAGCATTTTAAGTCAATGTTTGCACAGGTAGAAGTGTCTATCCCTCAAATCTGGATTTAGTTTACATCGTGAACATGGAATAACCTCACTGGATAACCTGTTTGACCTTGGACCGATCCCTAACCAATCAGAACAATTTATTCTCTTCTAACGATGTTTTCTTAATAAAGGTCCGTTAACCAATTTCTTATCTTTTCCCATTACACAGGGATTAAACGCACTTGAGGATAAGGCGATTAATTAATTTTGATTAATTTGATATACTGTTAGTAAATGAAATTTAATGATCCTGTTTGGTTACTGAACTTGTAAATTTCAGTTAAACACTTTACACACATACCTTAGTAAGAGTTCCTTTCCAAATAGAACGGATTTGTCAAGGTTTCTAATACCTCCAATACTTGTATGTTTGAGCAAACGTGTTACAAATCCAGGAACATAATTAGTGCATCTTGTAACTAGACAAAAATAGTATTAAAATAAATTCTAAACGAAACATTATTATATTTTCTAAAAATTAACCAAAGAGAATAAAGAGGCAATTAACTTTGGAATGTAATTGAGGTGCTTTATTACTGAAATATGGTAGATGAGTCGAGTATTGAAATCAGTAGTTACGAATAGGTCTGCCTAGCGTAAATCAATTTTATTATCTTAGTGAAAAAGAAGATTACAAAACAGGCGTTGTCTGCGAACAGACACATTTACAAAGTGAAGTGTGATATTCTTATGTGGGTTTATTTAGTGTATGCAAAACCCCTCATTGCTTACTATACGACAAAAGACCAGATCTTGACGCCACATATAATCGTTGTTAGCGATTTTCATATTATTATTATTATTATATCCTTTAATTCCTAGAGGAACATAGGGCTTCAGCTGCGCGTCTCCATTACCTTCGGTTTTCTGACAACTTTTTCACCCCGCTCCAGGTCTGTCCACATGCTTTCATCTCCTCCTCGCATGACCTCCTCCAAGTCGCCCTTGAACTGACGATCAACTCGCCGCTTCCCTTTCGGCCAGGTTTCAATCGAGCAATGGCTTGTCTAGTGATGTCACTTGATGGTTTCCTCAGCGTATGGCCAATACACATCCATTTCTTCCTGACTATTTGTAGTACAATTGGTTCCTGGTTGGTTCGCTCATCGCCAGAGATCCCTGTTGCTGATCTTTTCTGGCCGGCTATCTGATCTTGAGTATTGAGCGAAGACAACTGTTAATGAAGGTCTGAAGTTTGTTTAAGATGCTCTTTATGACGCGCCAAGTCTCTGATCCATATAGTAAGTTGCACTGACTTCACATTGGAGTTGAAAATCCGGATCTCATTTTTGATCCTGAGTGTTGTTGACGTCCACACAGACTTAAGAGTAATGAAAACCTGTCTTGCTTTTCCGATTCTGGCTTTGATATCCTCGTTAGTTCCATCCGCCTGTAGTTGAAACGACACTTCCCAGGTAGGTGAAGGAGGTTGTTTCTTTCAGGTTCCTCCCATTTATGATGACTGATTCTTCTCTGTTCTTGTTGTTGCTGATGGTGTTGGCCAGGAATCTTCATCACCTCTGTTTTATCTATATTCACTTGAAGTCCTATCTTTGATGCTTCTTCTGCCAGCTTGTTGCTTTTCACTTGCATATCTTCCAGTTTGTGGAAATCAGACATATATCATCGGCGAAGTCCAGATCCTCCAAGTCTCTTTTTGTGTGAGTCCATTTTATGTCTGTTTCCTCATTGCCCGTTGTCTGTCACATTATCCAATCTACTGAAATCAGGAAGATCATTGGCGATAATAGACAGCCTTGCCTCACTCCCGTCCTCATTTAGAAAACTTCTGTAAGTTTCCTGCTGCGGATTACTTGGCATGCAGCATTGTCGTATAACTGTTGGATGACATGTATAATTGTCGATGGGACCCCGTAGTAGCGAAGTAGTTGCCAAATCACCTCTCGATCGACTCTGTCGAAGGCCTTTTCAAAGTCGATGAAGTTGAGATAGAGAGGTGACTGCCATTCCAAGCTTTGTTCAATGATGATCCGTAGTGTTGCGATTTGATCAATATATGACTTGTTTCTCCTAAATCCAGCTTGTTCCGGTAGGAGTTTTGCATCCAGAGCTTGTTTGATTCTCTCCAGGATGATGCGGCTTAGTATTTTGCTTGGGATGGACAGGAGCATAATTCCACTCCAGTTCATGCATTGACTTAAGTCTCCTTTCTTTGGTAGTTTGAATAAGTATCCTTTCTTCCAATCCTCAGGTACTTCGCCCTCTTTCCACACCTTCTCCAGCAGTGGCGTTATCAACTCCGCTGTACCTAGAGCGAATTTCTAAACACAAATAAGTAGTGATTTTCTATTTTCCAGCTGAGAAGACCTTAAATCTAGCATAGCATCACCAAATATTCTCGCTTATTCTACAAACTAACAATCTTTATATTCTCTCACACCAGAAGTGTTTGATACAATGGAGAACTCTTTCCCCTGAGATGGCTCTCATTGGAAAATACTCCATCGCGCACATCGCTTTACGAGCAATCTCACTGTCAAACAACTCTTTTAAATGTTTGAAAACTCGCGAGCACACACACACGGTTCAGCCCTTTGAGCTAGTAAAAAATTGACTTGATGAGCAAGATTTAACTGCAGACATAATAAAGTGTAGCAGTGCACATCCCAATACAGTGCAGTTTGAGTGTAAGATGCAGTTGACTAACAGAAAGCTGGGGATAAACTAAACTACCTTTCCTTGCTTGTTAGCAACCAATCCATCAACTGTCTACAAAAATTCGGAACTGAACAGAAGTAGTGAATAGTCGGTAGTTTGATCACAATGCCATTGTGTATGACAGTTGGACTAGTTTAGTATTCATTGATGCAAAACTCATCAATTGAAGAAATCGTACAACTCAGCGCGACGGGAGACAATATGAGATATCATTCATAATTCAAAGGAACAATGATTATGACGTTTTCTACCCCCTAACATCAAAAAGAAAATTCCAAGTAAAAATGACTAACTACGAACACCTGGTCTTGACAACAAATATTATGCTCCCCAATTCCTAAGTGCTCAAAGTTCCACCAATCTTGATTTTGAAGGAAATAAATGAGTTACACTATACCTGCCCAGCAGATCAAATTGTTACGCGTTACACGTACACAAGAAGTAGGTGAATAAAAAGCGACAGAGGAATGTAAATAAAAAATAATCTCTGGTTGTTGAATGTTATAAAATAAAAATTCAAAAGAAACGAAATTGCAAGTAAAGACGATCAAGAAGTATCTATGTATTTGAGGCCTTGAAATGAATTCTGAACCCGACCATCCAGTCTCTAATTATCGGGTAAGTAATCACAAAGAAACCTTGTCCTGTTTACAAACTAGTCAAAAGACCGGATAAACGGTAAGGTTGAACATGTCTGTCTTTCTGTCTGGATTCAACATAGAACTTGGCACCGAAGTGCAGCAGTTCGAGTTGCCACGTTCCAAATAGCACACAGAGGTAGACAAGAAGATGAGTGAAGAGAATCAATACAGTCTGACAAGTATAAGAGTGAAACAGAATGGGTAATGGTAGAACATGTGTCTAGAAATCTCACTCCGTGAAATACAACAGTAAAGCTAAGGAAACTTTAAAGCGCTGAAGAAATACACCCTCTTCTCCCCGGAATTGGGAAGACTCTTTAAATCGAGCACGGATGGTGATGGCAGGTAAAAGTCTTCCAGAAATCATTCAGATGATGTGCCTTCCTTTGATGGAAGTAAAATTAAGCATATAGATATGGAATTTACGTAGCACGTTTGAAGTTAGGAAGGCTACTCTGATTACAAAAGAAATGAGAAGATATACTACGGAAGTGCTAAGAATCTCTGAGATCGAAAAGAACTGGAGAGTTAGTGATCTCTACAACTACTAACACACACTGACGGTGTGGCAACTCCCTAATATCTGATTCGGCCTCCGAAGTATTGCTGAGAGATTAATTGTCCAATTCCTCTAAGAACAAATGACACAGAGCAACATTCTGTCTAGTCTCCCTAATCAAAAATGTGAAGCCCCAAGGGATTTGAAAAATAAACACGAAAACACTGTTATAACTGAAGCGGATGGGATCATCAATGCATTTTAACCACATATTTGGCTTGAGTATGTTGTCCTCAAATCAGACATCGATGAGGTGTCTTTCCTAGACTGCCACAATGAGCAGCAACAAAATGATATTTTATTATGTCTATATTTAGGAAGAAAACACACTCCAACAAAAATATTTAGACTTCTAATCCTCACACCTCACTACTAGTGCAAAGGTATCAACAGTTCCAAGTCTTTTTTGGAAGAGAACACACCACAGATAATAACAGATGAAAAACGACAAGAAGAAATAGCCAGTTTATAAAGTTATATTTGTAAAATCTCAGCGAAATTGAAATGATTAATTCCAACGTTACGTTGGAATTAATCATTTCAATTTCGCTGAGATTTTACAAATATAACTTTATAAATGTCTACTTCTCACTCAGCGCTCAATTATTTTGCAACTATCCGATCAAATCTTGATCACAGTTAGTAAGAAATAGCCAGTATTATGGAAATTCTTGAGAGAAATAACTATCTAAAGAATTTTGTTAACAAACTTAACACCAACATTAAATATGGTGAAAAACGTATACCATAGTAGCTGTTACTCCATATATTTCGAACACGTCAGATGTGACCAAGAGTACTCAAACACACGCAACACCACAGTCTTCTTCAGAATATCAAACACCGAAAAGCAATCTTGTTCATGTGAAAGACAGAATTCCGAAGGATTCACGGTTTATGTCAGTAGCATTACGTGATGCAATATACACCAGAAAAACCTCACGAGAAATCAATGCGAAGAGAAATGAACATTGTAGATGCCTCTAACCAATCATTAAAAAAATCCAACAAAATTAAGAAAACTTGAAAAATCGTCAACTATAGAAGTCTACACACCATCATAGAATGAGGCTAAAAATAATTGATTTTGACAATATTGAAATTATCCAGAAACATTTTAGTAATCACGAAAAACGTCACATATGAGGTACACTTAACATTATATGGCGTCCAAATTCATCCGAATAGGAATGATATAAAAACGGAATTTGGATCTGATTTCAACATCACTCTCCAGAAAATGACGAAATAAACAGAAATGTGTGATAAGCATTTTCATTATATTAACACATATGCTATTATTACGATTCATCCAATAATCTATACATAGTTTGCTACCCTTGCCAATTCGCTCACTTGACAACACATAAATTACTTCATGCTGGAGAAATATGATCAAGTTACTGCGTATATAGGTTAAAATTTTGTAAATTCCGATTAAATATTCCTATGATTAGGCGATTAACACTAAATTGCGAAACATCGGTAGGTATAAAGTACAGTTTTTGGTCTTTCATTCATTGAGAAATACAAATCGTTTTTAAAAGAAGAATTATAATGAAACTTTAACTATATTGATTTGTTACGAAATCCACTATAAAGACTTACAGCTTCATTCACGCTCATTTTGTTTCCATCAGACTTTTCAACATCTTCTCCTGCTAGCTTGCGGGCCAGTGGTACAGAAAAAGCGAAATTTGGAAGTAAATCCAAATTGCGCGACTCCTTCATAAATAGTAAAATATTTGAAGTCGTTGAAATACATTACGTTCGCATGTTGTTTTGATTTACAATAAAATATACGTCATTAAACATTTCCATTAGTGAAACCAATGTGTAAGAATAGTCTCAAATTTCGTCACAAACTGATATCAATCAGAGAACCATGGGAAACTAGGGAGTACTGGACAGCTGGTTCGTCCTAGTTTCATACTCATTGGCAGCACGCACCCACTGGGATTTGAACCCAAAACCTTCCGGTTACAGGGCAAGCTCGTACACCACTCAGCTACTCGGACCTGACTCCATGGCCCCTGAATTCTAACTTCTACTGATTCGTGATTTTAGCGCGACCACCAGCCAGTATCATCGGTGAGTATTTGTCCTCACTCCAGACTGGATGGACCACAACAGTCACAACTTTTCACTATAACTCAGGGCAACTTCGTCCTGCAGCCAGTAAGAAAGGTCACTAAAGGACTTCGAGTTCAGAATTATATATATCAGTTGTAGTCCACTTAAGAATAATGCGATGAAATGTCCGAGGTAGTAACATCATGAGATCTTATAAACCTCAACACGTTTAATTGTGACCTAAGGTATCGTTTTTTATTTGATTTCTTTAACGATGGTAGTATCAAGCAATCTTATATAGTGTGCTTAAATTTAATTATGTTATGTAACATATACAGAGAATTCCATCAATACAGATAACTGCACTAAGACGGCTAAGTTAAACTTTAAGCACCAGTGAGCATAGGTGCCTGCGTTCTATCTCTCGTGCGAAGTGGTATAATATGGTGAGCAATACTGAGGTCAGGCGTCGAGTGCTAGGTAAACAGGGGAAATCAATCGACGAAGTTGTGAAGTTACATCAACTGAGATGGTTAGGACATGTGTTACGTATGTCTAGTCATCGCCTTCCTCGACGAGCAATGTTAGCTGATATAGGGTCAGGCTGGAAAAAAGCTAGTGGAGGTCAAACAAAAACATGACACCAGTCAATCAAATCTACAACAATTAGTCTAAGCCAGCCACGTAGGAAGGTGTAGACTTCCTGGTTGGGGTCCTCGGGACGGTAAAAACAAATGGTTGGAAACAATTGGTGACATGGATCAGTGGCGCAGATGCATCCACTCCTTGTGACTTATGATTTCCAATGAAACTGTTTTGTTCTTCGTTATTACTATTCCTTTGTCTCACACCTCTGTTTACTGTCTCTCTCTCTCTATTATGCATTTCTTCTACTTTCTTTTCGAGCTTTGTGTGCTACATGGAGTGTGGCGACTTGAACTGCCGCACATTTGTGCAGAGTTCTATGTCGAAAACAGACAGCTAACTCTTTTCCAGCCTGACCCACATTAGGTTGACTCAACCCTAACCTGTCCTTAGCCCACATCTTAACTTAATCTTCCCCAAACCCCACCCAAAACTAGTCAGATATCCTCTTTAATAAAATAACACTCCGTTAAGCATATTTCATAAATGGCTACAATATTATTTAACAGGTTCCATTAACTTGCTTACTGAGCGTTTCAAGTTCAATGGTGCAGTCACACTCCGCTGGCACTTGCTGGTGCTTAAAGTTTAACTTTGCCACTAAGACTAACAAGTAATCACTTCATGGATTGGAGCCACGCTTTAGCCTGACTAGCCTACTTTCATTTATGATGCCTGGCCAAATCAGTTGAAGTTTCACTACTTCATCGTCTGCCTCACCTTCTAAATCTAAACTCAAGTTTAATTATTATCATTTGATTTCATTTAACGTTGACAATATCTTAATGGTCAAAAACCTTTGATATATTCACTTATTTACCACCTTGAGTGACCGTGCTTCACACAGACAAACAATAGAAAAAAAAGTGAACCGCTTTATGTTATATTTATTTTTTGATAGGCAATTGGAAGCCAAAAATGACGTACATTAACATATGACAACGGTCCTACTGTATGCTCAAGTGTTTGATAGTGAGATGTCTAGTAATAATCTGGTAGTCATTTTGCACAGACTATCCCAAATTGATGCTTGTACTAACTTTTTGAATAAGAGTGTAGTGTGTAATGGTAAGACTACTCACAGTGAAAGTAAGATACGTATATGTCATTCGACACTCCTTTTATATAACTCCCAAATGCTACGAGGTTTTAGAACTTGGGATACATATTCACGAAACATGATTACTTGGTGATACCAGTTAAAGTGATATAGTCTTCTAAGGTGCAATTTCTGACACTAATAAGACTTAAATAGTGGTAATCATCATACAACTCATATAAAGAACTATAACCAGCAAAAGTACTCGGAAGTAAACGAATTTTAAAGGCAAAACTTGTTGATCAATCACTTACATTTAGGCTATCGAATAAGTCGATTAAGAAGCTATATTGTCCAGAGAACAAAGCATACTGATCTATCATGAGGAGAACTGTTAAAGGATCACCTTCATAATCTAGGCTGAAACAAAATAATAAATCGAAATAAATATCTTAATACAAGCTTACAAATCTAACAGTGGCACAAACACATGTATATCACGAAAGGCCTGCGAAAATCTCCGGGTAAAAGTATGGTACTTAACCTTGAGGAAAGTCTAGTTGCTATTACAGCTGACGACCTCATGATGAAATCCCCATGTAAGCTTAAACGCTTTGATTGATATGAACCAATACACCACACTTTTATTTCTCACCAGAGAAAAGTTGAACCTCACAATGAAGTGTATCAGTTGAAACTACCTAATTTCAACGTCTAGAACTTACAGACGAATTGGCGGACATCCAAGTCTACCCAGAGGAGCTGTAAAAAGCAAACTCAGATTTTAAACCTATTGTGTACACGGGCTACAGAATCCGAACGGATCGAATGGTGTATGAACCTGTTCTAGTCACCGATGAACGTAGCCTCACTGCCTTGTGGATCAGATGTCAATTCAAAGGTCCTGGAGTTCCTTCCGACAGCCACCTGTTTCGATCTGGACCCTCTAGCAACATCCCAGCCATCGCAAAATCAATGATACCGTTTCATGAGATTATAACTACGTAGTTACCGTTACGAAATACAATCATATTTCTATCGAGTTCTTTTTTGACTTGATTTTTACACATACAATTTTGTGTTTTATTTTTCCCGGCTTTACTATCTTTGGTGTCTTTACTCTTGTCTTTGTTTGGATTCCCAGTCTCTGTGCACTTTTGGGTTGTAAGTAAATAGACTTCGAAATACTGATTTTCAATAAAACATCTAACACGGATATCCTGAAACCACATGTCGCATTCAAGCCTACCACCTACAATATTTGCACACTGATGCAAGTGAGATAACAGGGAAATCTGACAAGAACACTAATAAGCCTCACAATAGATATTTGCTACACTTCCGAGACTCTCACTCACGATTCCAGTGAAGTAGTTCGAATATTTTCTCCATCTGGAAATCTGAACGGTTTGTACCACTTGGGTTTATCCATAACCCAGTAGCGTCGAAACCCAATACAGTTGGTGTCGCCCCAAGCGCTAGAGTCGAAGCTGCATTACTCGACCGTATCCCCACTAACAGCCGTTTATGTGGTATGGGGCTATAGGAGGGTAAGAAGGGACTGGCCAGAGATGCCGTGCCTATTTGCATCTCTGTCTATGTACCAATGGATTGCAGCCCAAATGAAATTAAGGGTAAGTGCTGCTATCAACTGAGCGAGCTTCTCAAACAGGACCGCTGAGGACTTGAATGTAAAGGTCAGGCGTCTAGGCTCATATGAGGGCCACTTAGGCGGTCAGTGGGGTCTACATGGTGTCAGGTCAGATAATGAGGACTATCCTTCGCAGCTTTCAGCAGATCACCACCTATTTCTAGCCACCACCAACTTCCGACGCAGCCATCGCCATAGCACTACCCGGCATCCTCCTTCTACCGATCAAGCCTGAATTCAAATTGATAACATTACCACCAGCTCCCGATGGCATGAATGAACAGAGGACTGCCACTTCTTCTGGAGCGCATGTCTGAACTTCAATCGTGCTTTAGTGCGTTCCAGGTTCATCTTACAATTTGGTATTCACATATGAGGTCCCCCACATGTCAGCGTGAGCAAGACGGTAGCAACTGGTATCTACGAAGTAGCCGACCAAGTTAAACTCAATGATAACTAGCAACCCTCCAAATAATACAGATAGGCACTGGCTACACCTGCAAGATGTTATGAGAACAGCGAGTGTACCCGTTTAAGGCTTAAAAGAATGCACCATTGAAAACCACTGGATTTCTGTGGGTTCCTTGCAGCTTTTAGATGAGCACAAGTCTGTTCCGGTGGACAGCAAGTATAGAATGCGCAAAAGCGTTTACGAGCAAGATCAAGCAGTGTTTACGTGAGGACCGCGAAGCCTAGTGATCAGAAGGAGGTTGTAAGATAAAATCAGCAGCCACATCTGGCAATAGCTAGAAGTTATTCCAGCTCATCCGAACCACTCACAGAGAGAAACACTGTGCCAACGGGACGGTATGTGAGGCAGATGGTAACCCTACCACAGACCTTAAAAGATGCCTAGTACGCTGGGCATTTTGAAAGGCGGTTTAGTTGGTCAGCGGCACCAGCATCCAACATCAACCAAACAAAGCGGAAGTCTGAGAACTCCAAACATCCAGCAGACTAATTACTTCTAGAATACAGTACGCAATAGCATACTTTTATCTACAGAAAAAGATGCTTATTTAAAAGTTAACACAAGAGAAGAAATGTTTACACAAGCATCTATACAAGAGACAAGTCTGTGAAATCTGACGCAATGAAATACCATTTGGAAACCATTTGAATTAGTGATTAAAAGAGATATTGTTTGATACAATAAGATGATGATATGTGAATCACCGAAAACAAATAATTTAATCACACATTCGTAGTTTGAACAAAAAATTTAAAACCGTATATGAAGATATTTCTAAATATATCATTTCAAGCAGGAAAAGCCACTGAAATACCAAATGTTTTAGAAACCACAAATGAATAAAGGCAAAACAGTTACCTTAGTAATAATTTGCAATATTCCAGGGCACTTCGGTAACAATGACGCTCACCAATAGATACGATATAACGAAAAAGTGCTACAAATAGACCCCTTTTAGCATAGGGAAAAACAGTAACCATGATTGAAGCTTACCGATTAATCTGATGCTTAAAGTCCAAACGACAAGATGCGTTGAGTGGGTTGAATGAATGATGAAAGGCTGACTGGTATGCATGAAGAACACGCTCTGAAAAATGTATATATCTTAGTTGAATTTCCTTTGCTCACCTAAAAGATCAATGGCTACCGTTGTATCTTCCTGAGATGTCATTATTTCACTTAATTGTAAAAGGGAATGAATGTGATATGGATTTTCATACAGGAGGGTCTATTGAAAATGTTATATGAGAAAAGCTAGGTTTACAGTCAAATTATTCAAATCCATGGATTCTAAAACATTATGAAATAATCTCTGAACATTTTGATAGTTTTTACTATATACAAACGTATATAAACCACAACCTAGAGGTTCCATACTTAGGCCAGTTCTAACAGCGAGTGGCCAAGTAGGTTTTATCGTTACTAAAGCACCGTGCCTTTTATGACTTTGCTTTTTTCTCGATGATGTACGCGAATTAGTAACGTCTGATGGGATCAAACGATTTAGTTCTGCAACATAGTCCAACATTTTCGAATTGACTTTGAGTAAATCTGTTAATTGTTTCTTTTGATCACATATCTCTACCGTGTTCTGCAAACTTAGATTATCAAATTGGTCAGTAACATCTTCAGCTTTCTACAGGAGAAATGTATTAACGTATAATAGCATACCTCTTTTTGTTTACTTCGCTTCTTCCTTTTTTTGCATTTGACAGGTTTAGTGTCAGCAACGGGACATTCATCAGATGAGGAAATCTTTATCTGTTGTTCAGGGGAGTAATTTGGGAACTAAAAACTGTGTTCAGATGTTAATACAAAGCTAACTTTACAGAAAATCGATTGTTTATTTTCACAGTCATCATTACTATCATAATCATCTTCAACAGTCAGATTCTGTGAACCTTCCGCCAATTTTCTTAATATTCTGGAAGACATTCTGTAATTAAACGAAAAGAAATTGGAAACTATGGAAAAACACTGACGTAGCTCGTGCACATTAAGATCTCTCCAACTCGGTATTTAAGTCAAATATAACGTATGCACATCATTGAATAGTACAAATAACCCAATCACAGTTAAATAGCAGCTTATCTATGACGTTTATAGCTTACTTAAATGCAGATGTTTAGACTACTGACGCGATATCAGCTCCAACATACATGATTGATGTACTACAAACAATACGAAACGTCAAAATTGCAATACCGCATTTTATAACCTATGGAAAAATAGTCAAAAGGGCTTCTTTCTAATACACTTCCAGATCAGTGGCTTGAACTTTGCATTATTTAGTAACAAAGTCTATACTTTCAGGCAATAGCATACGTAAGAAGTGGTTGAATCAAATTCTCTGAGAACCATCAGCTTTGTTATGCTTATGTAACAACATTAATAAAATTTAAAATGTATCGCAGCCAGTCGACAATCATTTTTTATGAGGGATTTTAGATCCGAAGTATGCTATTACACCATTCTAGTATCACATACCTCCAATAGCCCAGATAACACGGGCGAAATCCCCACTTTGAGCAGCATGACTCCCTCAACAAACAGATGGGAGTTAGGATTAACGGCTGAGATTGACGACCTAGTAGATGAGACCTGACGTCACGTCTAACATACTAAGTGGTGCAACAATACCTATAATAACGCTCAATAATGGTGTTTGCAAAAAAAATCGGTGTTGCCAGACAAATAAAGAAGCGTATGTATAGATTGTATAGATGGAGGAGATCGTGTGAAGAGGAGTTGAAAGAATATGGATTAACATGGATGCAGGCGAAAAGTATAGCAGAAGACAGAAGAAAATGGAGACGTGCAGTTGAAGCCCTATGTTCCACTAGGAACCCAAGAAAGCAATAATAATAATAATGTATAGATTACGATTAATGGGGAATGAATACGTTTTAACAACGCCCCTCGTAAACACCACTGAAAAATATCTTATTATCTAGACTATGAATACAATGATGATGGCAGTATCGTTCGACATCATAGTGACGATGATTAACTGAAATGACACTGACAGCACTCTCTCAGGATGAGTGGCGTAAACAAGTTTCGTGATTTCAAGAATTGGTTGGAGAAACCTTAAAGAATGGATAATATACCCCAAGTCCAATGGCGACAACTAATCATTTTGTTAACCCTTCGAAATGAATTTATGCACAAAAACAGGTTTGTTCTGCTAAGAAGTAATGCCTATGAGAAACGGGTATATTTTTTGCAACATGGGTAATTTCCGGTACCGGAAAGATTGGGTTAGGTGGGCCACTTTCAGAAATGACATCGGCAAAGTGGAAAAGAGTGGGTAATCCATCCATGGGGGCATGGGTAAAAGTAGTTAATGTAATCTTTACTGGGAGTGATGTGAAAAGGAAAATGTGGGTAAAATGTAGAGTGGTGATATTAAGCCAACCGATCAGATTGTCCGACATCACAAATTAATGCTGTTTATAATATTTACTACAAAGTTTCACTCTTATTCGCAATCAGAGTTTCAGGTTACTGTTAATATTAATGAATAGCATCCATTTGAAATGTTGATCATTTCAACTGGGTCGCTCAAGATATCTGACTACTATGTGGCATAGGTTATGCTTATAATGAAATCATTCAATCATCTGTTTTCATGAGTAAACTCATTTTGAAGGGCTAACAATAAGATTGGTGGGCGGTAAACTTTCTTCATAATGGATATACCATATACTTCTCTCAGTTAGCAATATATACTGCATGAACTCATCAATTTCTCCTTCTTATCACTTTCCACAGTGTTAAATACCACCAGACATCAAACACGCCTTGCTACGGTTTATCTTCAACTTCATAAGATAAAGTCTTAACCTGTTGGTCCCAGTATGCCAGGTGTGACAACAATAACCTTGAAATTGGCAGCCTGTAGACGGCCGTAATTTTGAGTGACCGCGAATGAGATAAACAAGCGATTCGCTCGCTCGTGATTGGCCAGTTTGTCATTCTAGTTGAGGTAATTTCAAACATCATTTTTGTAAGGCATGGTAAGTTTGGCGGTTTTCTAATGTTCAAACCATGCTTGTCTACTTTCAGGTTGGCTGCGAAGTATGCAGGGATTGGTTACCCAAGACGAGGCAACGGATGACCAATAGGAGTGCCCTTCCCTCTTATCTACTTGTATTGCGATTGGTTGTAAATATAATACTTGACCTTGAGTCCTCGTTCTTACTAGCACGCAACACTTGTGTGATCACACTGCTAACGTGCGCTTTGCTCTCTGTTTCAGATCATTGCTTGACGAGTGGGATTACATTTTGCTGCTTGGTTAAGTTCTGAATTTCCGGGATCGTTTTATCAAATTTGAGAGATAACTGACAACACAAACTATTACAGCTCAGGAGAGAAATGATATACCAGTGGATTTATTTGCTGAATTCAACGAATTCATGCCAAATTAACATCTAAGGACTTCTTAGGGATGTGAAGAATGCAAACAATGTTCTGAAGAGGTAATAACTTCACGCAACTTCAATTATCGCTTGACCATTATTTTCAGAGATCCTTAAATAAGTATGATATACACAGTGGTCTGGCTAATCATGATAAAAACGGCATGGTTGATGCAGCATACACATATACTCATTTACATGTAGGTAAACCTAGATAAACTGTGTTCTTGTCACGAAGATCGGAAAGCAGGTATCAGATGTCTCAGTAAGCAGTGTAATACACACAAGTTACATGTTTTTATTTGACATAAGCTGTATCTTCACTCACTTTCAGAATTAATCTTGAATTCAGTTGGAATAAGCTGGTTGAGCACATCAGTATTGAGAGAATACAGTGAAAGTAAGTAAACACATGCTTCTTAAGATTAAGTGATACATTTATTTGATATGATTGTATTATTGTTAGTTGTCTATCTAAGTTAGTGATGAATTCGTTGCAATAATACTACCTATTTTTGTTTTCATAGTCACTATGAACATGATTGTCATTATTATTGCTGTCAAGACCTATTATTTGTCATAAAGTGGTTGTCATTTTTGCTAAAATATTTGTACATCTTTGAAAACTACTGCATAACTTGTTGTTAGGTAATTTTATCATTTCATGATGCTTTGATGGACCTACTGGACATCGACCAACGATAGGTTGCAAAGTCCCTTAAGTTTAGTGAAAACTATTGGGCTACTTATATATATATATATATATTGTTTGTATAGTGATTACTTCTAAATGCTTATCAGGAAATTTTTTATTCAGATCACACATGTAATACCCAAGTTAATTATGCTTTTCTTAAACCTTTTCAGACTTATGGAAAAACATATATGTGCCGTGTTCTCAGATGGAACTTACTGACGGTAACAGAGGACTACTCATCTGAATTATGTGTACATTTGAAATCTGATTTTTGTTTAATAAACAATTTTCCAATTAATCTGTCTTCCTTCTGTTGTAATGCGATTGTGTTCCAGTAACATAAGTAACACGTGCTAAGTTAGAAGTTGAGGGTAAACTGTTAGGAGTAAATGCGGCGTCTGGAAGACTTTTGTTTACGTGATCATATGAGCAGATAGCAACGTGTCGTGTCCTGAAGCTGAGAACCCTAGGCATTCTGTTTTTAATTATTACAATAACTGTAGTTTCACTGAGTTATACATCCAACAGCATAGGTATAGTCTCTCCTTATGGTGCATTGTGACATGCAGAAATCACAAGCAAACTATCTCAGGTAGATTTACTCTCACTTTGTGACTATGAATCGCGAGTCAGTTTACGTATTCTGCTATGACGATATATAACTCGAAACGCTTTATAATCGCAAGAGTTCTTCTACGGTTTAGGCATATTTACTTTATTTGACTACGACATAATCTTTAACCAATAGGCTTTTCCAAATATCTGCTCCTACTTAGTATTTCAAAGATAGCCTCATATACTCTACACTTCACATATTACGAAAGGGCTAATTTTCGGTCTTATCAAGTAGAATAAACAAACGAATAACAAGGAATACATTTATTAATGAATTAACATGTAATACAAAATCGACAACAGTGCAGGTATCTTTTTCTTTATCGCCCAAATCCATGAAATTCCCGAAAGTAGATATCATCTGAAAAAGAACAAAATAATTATACAGATGTAGACACTGTTATCAGTGTACACACAATAACTAACCATGAAATATGTTTGAAACGACGAAATAATTGAATTGTATATAATTACGTCAGTAAAAATTTTTCAATTATACAAAGTCGATATTGCATCTGCCTGCAAACGTCGTTTATGCCATAAAATAAGGAAATACTATGCGTATATCATTTCTAAGTATTTCTGCAGATTTTTCCTTAAAGAAATACATATGGAGCAGCCTTGTAAGCATTACAAAAATTAAACAAGGAAGTAAATGATGTAATTACCGAAACGAGCTATCCCACCTCATCATGTCCATGTGGAATCCATTAAAATGCAAAAAATATTCACGAAAAGATCATTATAACATGTTTCTTCAAGTAATTCGACGTATTCTGAACGGAAAAGTACGTTTTTCCAAATAACTGCAAACTGCCTGTAAGCTACGGCCGGATAAGGACACCACCATTGCCTATTTCTGCTTAATACGCCGTATTTCATCAACTTTTAGCTGAAATATATGTAAAAAAGTGTGTAAAACAACGAAAAATGACTTAACTTTGACGTCATTTTCAAAAATAACGCCAATATCCATCAGCTGATCAAATGACCTACGGCCGTCTACAGGCTGCCCTTGAAATTGAGAGTGACAGTTCGAAAGGCTCATCAAAGCAACCTTTCATTGTTCAATAGCCTTCACATCCTGCTTAAGATATTTGCCGGATAAGTCCAGTCTGCTGGATCCATATTTCCTGGGTTTTCCTGCTTTAGCAACTATATTTAACCCCATGTTCAATTTTAAGAGCTTATACAAAATAGCTAGAATTTTCTTACTTGCATCTTGGCAGCGAAATGAAACTCCCTGATTTTGAGCAGTTCATTAAGTATTTCTTATCGCATCTCACCGTTGCTGCATTGATAACCTCAATCAGTCTGCGGACTGCCTAGATTTGTCAGGTATTGTGTATCTCTACCGAGATCGCGACACTACTATGATCGGGTTACTTATCTTCAAGATAAAGAAATAGTTATGATGATGCAATTTTTCGGAGAAAAGTAAACCGGAATTGTATTGTAAGT